GACAACACTGCCATATTCTGTCGACTTACTGTCGACACAACATGGCGGTAGTGTAGATGCAGGTATAGTTTTGTCAACAAAAGTCCCCTTTTGTCGATAAAACCCTGTAGTCTAGACATATCCTACATGTTTTGTTAGTCTATAAAATGCTACCAGACTATTTATTGTTAAGTTTATCCTGTACAGACTAACTTGGCTACCCCCCTGAATCTTCTTACAGGTTTGTACAGGGTCTACCATTATGAGACCCCAGGATCCTAACCAATGCAATAACAATTCCCAGACTGTCTCCCAAAAGATTGCTCACTCCCTTCCCCCTGTCCAAACGTCTCTCGCTCCCCATCTCTCAGTATTCTGGCATATAGGAAGCTGGGGGCAAGATTAGAATGAACAACAGTTAGGGCAAAAAAAGTATGTAATTGGGGTGGGAGAAAGGAAGGAAGAATCTCCCATAACAGGTGAAATTGTGAATCATTACAGTGAATTTAATGTAGCCAGCCTATCAATCTAGTTGCTGTCAAACTTAAGGGATAGTTGAAAATATTTCAGTAGAGGGCACTCAAGACCTAGGAATGTGTGCTTGCCAAATCCTGCATATTTACTCTGTAGTATTTTACAAGACTTTAGCACATGAATCTCCGTAATGTGAGCACTGGGCCTCATATCTCACATTGATTGTGGTAATATTATACCTGATGCACATAAATCTAAACAAAATTCATGTGCATGTGGCTAATTCAAATGAACCAGTTTAGATACCGATTGCTTTAGGGTTTTTTTTTTTTTTTTTTTAATGGTCTCCACTCTCCGCCCTCCCCCTACAGTATTGTGGAAAAATGTCCTAAAGTCTCTTCATGTGCGTTTCATACTTTTTAGGTGGTCTGACACATTAATCTTATTTGCAAATGATCCTTTGCTGATCAGCAGATATTAATAAAATGTTACAAAATTGTGTTCTCTTTTGTAAGCAATTCCTTTTATGCTTGAAAAGACAAAGCTTTGCATTAAAATTAATGGCATTTAGAACTTCCGTAAATCTGTAAGTTTGCCTGGCCGTGAGATATTAAGATTCTTACATATACAATGTACAGTATGTTCATGAGTGTCAAATTCCTATCAGGATAACAAATACAGCCTGAATTACTGTGTGTAACCACTGCAATAACATGTAGTACTAAGATATCTTTACGCTATCTCTGACCACACAACTTCTTAATTCATACAAATAAAAAGTATACTATGTTTACACACTGTAAGTACAGTATAGAATTTGCATTGAATATAGATATGTTGAAATGACGAATTACTGCAGTAAAACTATTTTCACTTTACCACAATCAATGGAAATCACATAAGAACTGTAAAATAACATTATGCTATTTTAGTGAAAAACAATGGAACATTCATTTCTGTTAGGGGTTCCAACAACTTGCGGTGACTTTCTCTTTCAAGTCTCCCAGGGCAATCTGTATTGTGGGTTTCATTAAACAGTAAGCTCTTCAAGACATGGAATGAGTATTTATTATTAATTATTATTATTATTATTTTGTACAACACCTTACATGCACTGTATAAATAATTACATCGTGTAGAAATTCAGTTTAACGGGGGATGTGCAACATTAATTTTGCATTTCACAGAGCAGTTTTCATGATGTTTACAATTGGTGTGTTATTTCCACACTTGTAGAATAATTCATCTGTGGTTTACTTTGGCTGCAGTCAGTGTATGAATATGGCCCATTAGTAGCAGGCTGTCATTTCACCCAAGTGTGTTGAATGCATCTTCTGCACCATGTTTCAATTGGCATTTGTATGTAAAAGCACAGATGTAGGGTTACAAGCTTTCTTCCTGAAAATATTCAGATTTGACTAGGACAAGGACTCTGAGCTGCATTTTTTTTATTTGTTATTGATCATGAACAACCCTGGGCTGACATTTGGTGGGGCAGTGGAATTTTTTCTCTGGAGGGAGCATAAGCCACAAAAGAATAAAGCTGTTACATTGCATGTGCAAGAAAGAAGGGTGCTGAAAGCTGTCCAACCAGTGAGAGAGCCCAGGTGGGACTTCAGGAATACAAGGGAGGATAGGAAGGGAAATAGACCAAGGAATTGCCATCCAAATCAATTTTTCAACCTGCAGGACTCTCCAATTCTATGGGCAGGAGCCAAGAACCCAGAGATCAATTCCAGCACATATGCACCACATTTTCTTCTGCTAGACTTTGCAGGCATTTTTGTTTGGTTTGGTAAAGTTTTTGTTGTTGTTTCCTTTTCTCTCTTCCTGGCTCTGCTCACAATGCAGAGCTCTTTCTGTAAAAGCTTGCACCATCCATCCCAAATCAAACAGCAAAAGATAAGCTACACCCATGCTCTGTGATTAGTATTTATAGCGCACTGCACCCATCCAGTAACCAACTTACTAATGCATCAGCCTGCAGTGAGCATTTACACCTGAGGATTTGCAGACAGAGACCTCTCTGGCCTGAATGAAATAAAATGAACCTCCCTTCTCTGCAAGTCTGGCAGCAACAAGGAACAAATTGCTTCTCAAGAAGGAAAGCCTCCCTCCTTCCCCAAGCCTGCCTGTTTGTGTCTCAGTAAAAGCAACCCTCAGCCCATGCCCTTTATAAAGAGCTGCAACTGTCCCTCATATCAACCTTTAGCGGGGAGATTTCTCCTCCATGCCCTTCCCTGAATGTTTAACCCTCTGCGTACCAAGGCACTGTTAGGGGATGGCAGAAATTGTCTTTGCTTGGAACAGGGACATGTGTACCCATGATGTAGGTAATACAATTCAGGAGCTCAGGGTCTCTGCATACCCACAGTGCTATAGGCTATTAGCATTTCACTGGGATTTAACAGCTGTGCAATTGACAGCTACAGAACCCTGCCCCCAACACTTGGTAATTGACCTAACCACTCCAAGGGGAAGGCTGAGACATTATGCCCAACAGCCTCTGTCACAATGTTTGTAACTTGTCTGCAGCTTAAGGCGATATATTATCGCTGCTGTCCCAGCCAGTTATCATGTGTCTAGTGGAGAGACACATATAGATGACCAGATACCAGGGTGAGAGGCACCTGGCCAACCTGCTATGCTACACAGATGTGCTCACTAATTGCTGCAAAGCATCAAAATCAGAATCTTTCGTTTTGGACTTCAGACTGATAGGGTGAAGGTGGTGGGGGTGGAGGCTTTTCCTTTTTAAGGATAAATGCAGGTTCATGAGGCAGGCTAGTTCTGTGTTAATTACTCAGTGAGAGGCTAGAGACATTAGCTTCCCTTCATGCTGGGGTTTTTGAGCCTCACTGAGGAACTTAAAAAAATATCCAGGAATAATAAAAGGATGAATAAAAACGAGTGGTCCAATGGCACCTTAGAGACTTCAAAAATACATAGACTCAGGAGCTTTCCTTGGGCAAAACCCACTTCCTCAAATAAATTGGAGTGGAAATAACAGAAACCAAGAGATTTATATAACAGCAGAAGTACCTGTCAATTGTAGACTAATTAACAGGGGTCCTAATTAAGTGGGCCGGATGTGTTCCATTCATCACACCTTTTGATGTGAAAACGTGCATGTTAAAGGCAGGAGAAATTGGCTTTGTAGTGTGCCAACCAGTTAATGCCTTTTTTCAAGCCCAGGGTGGCAGTGTCAAATCTGAAGATGAATACTTAGGAGACTAGTACTACGGTAAGAAAATTAAAGATTTGCTCTGCAGAAGTTCCAGGAAGAGCAGTTGTAGGCAGCTGGCAAATGGGAGCGACTGAGGGCGATGGAAGAACAAACCCTTTAAAAAAGGAAAAATAAATGCGCTTCTCTGATGGATTTCCTGCCTTTTGTCTCTGTCAGGGAGGTCATTAAAGCCCTGAAACTGCGGGCTGCTTTGCAGCAGCTCCCCGCAGCTCCCGGATTCTTGTCGCCTCCCACCGGGTGATCTTTTTTTGGAAAACGATTCTCATCCTCCTGACCTCGCCCCTTCACCTGCCAGCTCCTCCCGGCGAATGCTCAGGTTGCAAGCTGCTCGCTCCCTGTTCTCTGGTCTCACCCGGTAGCCAGGCCAGGAACACAGCCCCACCAGACAGGTCTCCCCATTGCCGGGGAATGGGATGCTGCAAAAGGCTGCACCCTGCAAGGCAGCCCCAGCCTGGCAGCACCGGGGAGGGGCAGAGGGTTGAGGCCGGTGCCGGGAGGGAAGCGCACGGGCCCTTGGAGAAGTTTCAGCCAGTCCCTGTGTCCCTCCTACCCAAGGGGACTCCTAGCCTGGCGAAGTTCCCCTCTCCCGGCTGTGCCCTAGCCAGGTCCCCTCCCCCACCTCCGACCTGCACCCTGCAAGGCAGCCCCAGCCTGGCAGCACCGGGGAGGGGCAGAGGGTTGAGGCCGGTGCCGGGAGGGAAGCGCACGGGCCCTTGGAGAAGTTTCAGCCAGTCCCTGTGTCCCTCCTACCCAAGGGGACTCCTAGCCTGGCGAAGTTCCCCTCTCCCGGCTGTGCCCTAGCCAGGTCCCCTCCCCCACCTCCGACCGGCACAACTTCTCCCATTCGTGCCCGGTACCCCACTGCTGCACCCGCCCCCAAGCGCATCAGCTAGCGGGAGGGCGCCCCAGAGACTCACTGGCGGCCTCCCTTCCGCGCGCAGCC